AGCGCTTTTTCTCATCACTTACATCCGCTTTTAGCTGATTTTGATGCTCCTTCACAAGCACTTTGGAGTATTCGATGCGGTTCAGTTGTTCAATGGTTTTTGACAGTTTCTCGACCACGTTGAATATGGCATTATCCATCATGTCAATGCGACGAGTCAGTCTGAAACCACCAAGGTTTTTAAACAAAATCCGGCACTATCGCAAGATACAAGGTCATTGTGATGGTAATGCATTCGAAATTCAGAGAACAAATGAAATCCCTGTTTGTTGAAAACAGGACCAAGCCTGAGGTGGAGGAGGAGAGACTCCAGGGTGCGTCAGCCATTTCCATTCTCCACGGAATTCCTGCCCCTCTTAGGTCTAGTTCTAGAGAACGTCCCTGTATATTGCGATACCGCCCAAAATCCTTGCTATGAGTAAAATTATGCATGCAAGCCACGTTTATACTCGGCAGGCTCGAAGCCTGATGCGAGGTACACGTAGTAGCGGATGCTAAGCGCTCAAGTTGACAATGGACTGGCAATGGTGCTGACGTTCTTCGCCTCCACCCTAACGCGCACACATTTGCAACCGTGAGTAGCAGCCAGGACGTCCTGCTGCAAGTTTGTCGAGTATACATGTGGTGAGAAAATCACTTACACTGCGGTTGAACGATACTCTTCCTCGATGACTTTCTTGCGGCACACCTGATCCCTGATCTCATTTCCAACCTCAACAAGAGCCTGGAATTCAAAGATACAAGTACAACTGATAGAGACGAACACATGAAGAATTCCTAAGAAGATGGGCAACCGGGTGAGCTCTTTGCGAAAGAAAAGAAGCAGTGGCTCAGGGAAAAGAATGAGGCTGATCCGAGCCCAAGAAAGCGAAACAACGCTCTGCAAGTGAAGTCCACGCCCTACTACTTTCGCAGCCTTATATCTATGGGCCTGAGAGGGGGGAGGGAGGCAATTTCAAACCGTCTGTGAGCAAGATGTCACTAACGTCATTGTTGACTTCGTCGTCAAGGTCTATGTTCAGCTTCTCGAACGCGTCCGTAACGTCCTTCTCGTTGTAGCCAGCCCTAAAACAATAAGCTCTGAGCTATTATCAGAGATTCGAGCGATATCGGTTCACTTACGTCAACAATTCGAGTTTGTAGTCGTTGTAAGTAGTAAGTGTCTTGTCATTCCGCTTCCCACCGGTAAGTTTCTACAACAGTCTCTTTACAATTGCCTTGAAGGTCAACAGCCCTCAATGACGGGTACCCGACAGGAGGTCCGTGCACGGCAAGAAGGCAGAGTCAGCGGACGAGTGTGGGCGTGTGTGCGTGTTTGGGGGTTGTTTTTTTTTTTTTTTTTTTTTTTTTTTTTTTTTTTTTTTTTTTTTTTTTTTTTTTTTTTTTTTTTTTTTTTTTTTTTTTTTTTTTTTTTTTTTTTTTTTTTTTTTTTTTTTTTTTTTTTTTTTTTTTTTTTTTTTTTTTTTTTTTTTTTTTTTTTTTTTTTTTTTTTTTTTTTTTTTTTTTTTTTTTTTTTTTTTTTTTTTTTTTTTTTTTTTTTTTTTTTTTTTTTTTTTTTTTTTTTTTCTTTTTTCCTTAAGGCGAAATTCACCTATAATACGCCGGTGTAATCCCGCTGACTCTGCCTTGTCGCGCGCGACGTGCCTCCTGTCGGGTACCCGAATGTTACTGACCTTTCTAATCCAATCGAAAATACCATAGCCATCTTTCTGGCGTGCTAGTTCGGCTTTTACTTCCACGTACGAGTCGTTGATGATAGCGAGGAACATGTTCTAGAAGAATGTATTGGTTCTATAGGCTTACATTTAGTATAATATGCATGGCTAGGGGGCGCGGCACCGCGCGCACGGCATTGCGGCGACCATATTCGCGGGCAACCCATGGCTCTTTACCGACTCACCAGCAGAACGAAGAAGACGAAGAACACGTAAGTGACAAAGAATAACGGCCCAAGGACGCGATTTGTTTGCGAAAGTGCCGAAAAGTCGAAATCACCGAGGACAGTGCGGAGTAGGGCGAAAACGGAACTGAGAAATGTGGAGTAGTCCGCAATCTGAAATCAGCTTGCTCAGCACAACTTGCTTATTTTTCCTTAGCCATATTCAAGAGTGACTAGCTTCACATTTGGTGATACTAACCAGGAAGGTCTTTCAGGGCGTGACGAGCTTTTTGAAAACGGTCTTTTGCATGATATAGGGGCAGATGCGGGGACCACAGAACCATGTTTAATTTTTCCTGAACGGCCCTCTGAATACCAGAAAAGGGGGTCCCTAGTTCGATTCCTCTTGGTGACAAATTTTTGCATTTCGAGTTGACGTTCCAAAATTCGCGCAAAATGGAGTTCTGATTGTTCTGGTTGGTTCTAACTTGGCACGTCAACTCGAAATGCAAAAATTTGTTACCACGAGGAATCGAACTAGGGACCTCCTTTTCTGGTATTCAGAGGGCCGTTCAGGAAAAATTAAACATGGTTCTGTGGTCCCGCATCTGCCCCTATATCATGCAAAAGACCGTTTTCAAAAAGCTTCGTCACGCCCTGAAAGACTTCCTGGTGAGATTTCAGAGTCCTGGCCTCTCTTGACGTGCGGTCGCGCCGCGGTACTGAGAACTGATGCTGTGTGAAATAGTTAGTGCGCTGAACTGACTGCCTCTCCCGAATCAGGTCTCACTGATCTCATTCGAAATCCGTGACTGGTATCAGAACTTAATTTTTATCGAAATGTCGCAAAACTGTCCAATTGATTATTGTTGCCGCAGAGCCGACGAGCGTACCGTACGGCCTCAAAGGCGTGGCTTCTATGTGGCAGCGAGTTCAACGATTCAAGTTCTAGATGCTGCTTCCTCGGAACTCGGTTAGTATCACTTGAGTGCCGAAGACCAGATACCAAATTAGCGCGTAACGAAGAAGACACTGGCTGGAACATTACACAGCGGAATCACCGATTCACTCCGTAGCGAGCGAGAAAGACGGTCGTGCCTTTGATTCATCGTTCTGGTTATTCCGATGTTGAGTTGACCATATAAAAAGAATGTTTGAATTGGAATTGAACGGCGAGATCGCAAATTTAGTAGTTGTAAATTTTGGAGTGGGCAAACAGGTCTACAACCTTTGAATCCACGACAGGAATAGAACCACAGCAGCGATGTTATTGAAGACCTCTTGTGTACTGACAACATCGTCGAAAGCTGCTACGGTCAGTCCGCCTGGAAGAAATTCGAGAGGTCACATGGGAACTCGGCATATTCTTATTTGAAGTCCTATTTAGAAATCGAAACTCCTGGCTTCAGTCGCCCGTTCGATTTGTGCACTGACCCATTTGTTGTTTGATGACAGCAGCACGCACACTTATCCACACCGGTATCGATTACCAATCTCTTATAGCGGCGTATTGGTTTGTGGACTATGACATTTAGGCACGCACCTAAGGGCACATGCTGCACTTAGGATGTGTTCATTCAGTTTGAAAGAACCATTTAAAAATGGGGTGCAATGGTTGTCGTCAATCAAAAAAACAATCAGGCATGCAAGTCACAACCTCAAAAGGCATCCTTCCTTGCATATGGGCAGTATGTGCCTTCCTTCTTCGGACGGCTCCTTACCTTACCGGCCTAGGTGAAGGAAATGACCAATGTGGGAGCCCGCTGTAGGGATGCAACACGCCTTGATCATTGATCCTTAATCAGCGCATGTCGTACTTTCAAATTTGTTTGTGATTGTTCAAGCGAGTTGTGTGGGTTTGAGTCCCGTCTGGGGCAAAAGTTTTGTTTACACAACCCAGCAGCATCACAGCGCTCTTGTGATACTTCCAAATGTTTTCAACAGTCTTGTTTCTCCCATCATTCTTGCGGTCTCTTTCATCCGGAAGTGTGGTACTATAATATTCTGCCTTAAAGGCAAAATTCAGGATTAAACGGATGAGATATTTCACTCAAATGTGAAAGTAGGGGTGGGAGGTGGACCGCCAGTGGAGAAAAAAGGAAAAAAAAATCGTGAAATACACAGGAAATACGAGCCTTTTGCTCTACGTTGCGGAGAAGTTCAAAAGGCCGGCAGGGAGATGAGAGATAATGTGAGCGCGGAGAGCGGTAGAGAATCCGAGAAGAGAGAGCATAGCAGATCAAATTGCGACGCAGACAAGATATCGAGCGGTGGGCGGAGCGTGTCGCAACAGGTGGAGCGTGTCAAAGTCCTTGGCCCCTAGCGCCTTAGTGACGCATTTCGATGCGGGATTTTGGCGAGTCGCTGCAGTTGCGTCCTCATGCGCTTCTAGCCACTTTAAGGACTTTTAGGTTCATTAGGTGGGTCTGATTCCCGAACTTTGCCTTTAAAAGCAAGGGGAACGAAAAGGAGCAATCAGAATGGCAGCAAGAAGGTGGTATAATTCCCTATTTTCTTAAACTGCGTGCTTTTCATATTTTTTTCAGGCCAATTCAGGAGGTAGGTGTGAGGAGACCATTTGTCGGTGCTCGTATAAGCTTTATTGTAAGCGTGACGTCAGACGTTCATATTTTTCGTGAACAGGACCACTTTGGATTCGCATATTACATGAGTTAGTGTTGGGAGTATCCCCACAATATAGTTCCTTTCTGAGTGCTTCAAACAAGTATCTCAGACTTAATTCGTCAATTTTTATGTCATTTGGTTTGTGCAGTTGCTAACTATATTTGTCAAATTTGTTTCATGAAGAATTCCATCTCCTTTCATATACAATTTTTTTCCACACAGATTTACCTGTGTTGTAAACAATTACAAATTACAACTCACTGTGTAGAGCATCGTTGATGCGATCAGAGGCGACTTTGATGCGATTGTAGTTCAAAAAGATTTCACAGCAGCATAGCTAAAAAAAAGTGGAGTGAAAAGAGATGTCCACTTTCATAATGACAACCCATGAGCTTGGAGTAGACTCCCACCCCGTTTTCTCCTTCTCACACCATTCTGTAACAAATTTATTCAGCAGCTCATCCACCAGTCTGGTATCGTACTGAGAAGAACCTCGACACGATATTACCCAGCTACTCACATGTCATTTCAATTTTGAGAGATGCCATTTGAAACTTTTAGAGAAAATGCTTCACAGCCGAGACTGCAACGCACGCAACCGCGCGCGGCTCTGCTTGGTGATTTGACTTACGCCTCTCGCGCGTTCACGAGCTTCCTTCTTTTGTATGTGGTGATATGTTTTTTGAGAACAAATCAATTCTACTGAGAGAACAGTTGAATTTCAGATAAACTCTCAAATTTTTTTGAAACTAATCCTTTTTGCTGTTTTCCTAACAATTGCTTTGTTTTTACCGTTAGCTGAGCGATATCGACGATTCTCCAAAAGCTCAGAAGATATCGCAGACGAAGTCGAACAAGTTGGAGGATTTCTTCGAAGATGTAGAAGATCTGAAATACTGTCGGTACTCGTTTTGTCGCAGAGGTGCATGTCAATTGTAAGAGACTATCGCGTCCCTATGCAAAGCTCTTAGACTGACTACATTAGTAGCTTTTTAAAAAAATTCATATAAGGAAGTCACTTATGGCACTGTACTGAAGTTCTTGCTTCTTCAGTAGTTAATTAATTATTAAACCCCATTTTCCCATCCCTTCAGAAAACTGCGTGATCGCAGAAAAAAATCGAAAAAATCGCGGCAAGCTCACTAGTTCGCACGTACCTAATGGGACGCGACCGCAGTTCAGAATGTTTTAGTATTCTGTACCTGTAGTTTCATTGATCATTTTTTATTCATTAATAATATTTTGATTTGAATTAAGAATTTTATCAGCGATAATAAAATTCCTTACAATAAAGCCGACAAGTATTCCTTCCAGGATGATCAGCACATTACCGTACCAGCCGAAATAACGCATGAGATTGTAAGTGCTGAAGCGATAAGACGGTAGAACTCCGCCCGAAGCTGGGAGTTCCAGAAGAAGCCTGAAAGACTTATCAGGTAGTATGAGATTACGGGAGAACATGAGTTAGCGATGGTGCGGCACCGCCGAACCCTCCCCCCATGAGTCAAAAATCGAATCCCAAGTCTGGAATCCTGTCTCATCAATTGGATCTTCCATCCTTTCGTGACCCCCTAATTGTACCTGTTTCATCTGGGAGGATGAAAATACCCGCAAGCGTTATATCGCTGCCCCGTAAATCAGTCCTCACAATCAGGTCGGTAAGATACTGAAATACCAATATACAATAAATGGAAGCCGTACGGTCGGTGCTTAGCGTGAAAAGGACTGAACAACGCTGGATGTCTTATCCCTGTAACTCTGTGCAGACATCTGTCGTCGCTCTATTGAAGACCGGTTTTATTGGGTGAATGCCCAAGGCTCTAACAGCTTCGAGAATCATACTCTATAGTGGGGTGGGGTCAGGAATTTCTGGGTACCCGACAGAAGGCCCGTCACGAGGCGAGAAGGCAGAGATGCAGACATGTCGGAAGGCGAGCTGCGCGTTAGACATGTTCACGAGTTGCGAAGCTGGCAGAGCGTACTGTGCACTCGCATGGACGTATACAGTAGTTAGGGTCTAGCACGTATCCATTTAGTTGACGGCTTTAATCGACCATACAGGACCTGCTGGGGATATCGTCCGTGACCCATAACTAGTCTAGCGTTCTCACCGCACGCGGCGGGGTCCCTTTAGGCTATCCGGAAACTGCTGGCACTCCACACGAAAAAGCAGCGACCAAAAATGAATCTCGTGCACCCGGGCGGGAAAGCCAACAAAAGTTGATTCCTGATAATAGTGGTGCTCTGCTCAGAGGGACCACGGGTTACGGCGCGCCGGAGGGGCGAACAACTGTCTGAATTACTTGAGACTCACGCCCCCTGTGAGTGGCTTACCTTACGCTTCTGGACGTAAGTTGACACGAGCATTGGTTGGTGTTCCACATTAACTCATCTCAATTGAGCAAGATACTGCTAATGTCTTTATGGATGCATTCATTGCTGGGAAAATAGCAGGGTATACGAATGCCAGTGTTTAACGTTTTTGCAAGTAGGTCGCCAGCCCCTGTATATCCGTACCAGGACTCTCAAAAAAATAAGCTCAAGAAAAGAGCTAATATACCGTATGCAATGAGAGAACAGGTTCACATTCGGTTTGAATCAATGAGTAAAATCAATGATTTAGCGCTTTCTCGTGCCAACGTGATCGATCGCATCGATTTGACTGAAATGGGGATTTTCTTCGCCCGAAATTCGCAGCTTTATGTTGTTTCGAGTCTATCGCAGTAATTACTTTAACTCAAAAACTCACTCGCATTGACAAGGGTCAGACTTACTTCCGAGCCGTGAATTTAGCCTGCAGTGCTCTTCTCGCGAGGGCTAGTAGCGCGCGAGTGTGAAGTAGAAAACCTCCGCAGGTAACTGTAAGTTAGCTGTTAGATTGTCTCAGTCCTGAGCGTGTGCTGGCTCGCAGCCACTGAAACAATTGAGCTGAACACTCATTAAGGAGATTATTCACGATGGAGCTTAAGCCAGTTCGACTCCTTATATGCTTTCGCTCAGGTCACCGCCACAGCCGACAACGGGCGCATATCAAGTGCAGATGTAGAATCACATGCCTCCTTTTCACGAGGGTACCGAACAGGGGCTGTCGCAGCGGCAAGCAAGGCAGAGACCCAGACAGGCCAGGCGGACGCAGTCGCAGCGCGTTACTGCAGTAGATTTTCGTGTCTATGTACAGGAATATACTATGTGCTCACTACCACTTCAGTCGTGAGTGATGCTGCGAACTGAACTGACCGTGTCTTGGCTACTCTGCTTAAACTTCTCGGCGCACTAACGAGCATGGGATTTATGGATCAGTGCCAAAATCCTCATCAACCTACGCTTCTGTGGTTCCCGGTGGAATTGTGTGTCTATCTTCGACGATCGGGTTGAAGTTACTGAAGCATTCAGTGATTTCACGTGCAAAGCTTGCGATAACGCTACACGAGTCGTTTCTGACCTGTAATCACTTATTATTATAATTTGTTCCACGTATCGATTCATTGGCCGCAATTGCCGCGCTGCACAGGCGCGCGTCTTATGCCGGCTATTTCGCAGATTTGTTCAGGACACAAAAAATTTAACGTGGAGACCTTTAGCATGCGTATGCGTGGGCGCCCTAGTAGTCTGTTGTTGTAGTAAACCATCGCTGTCTCATCAACAGTGAACGGGCCATCGCTCTTGTAGAGGCTGTTCATGAATTCTACTTCTAGGAACTGAAATCACATTGTTCATTTTCAGCTGCTCTAACAAAATAAATAAACAAATTTGGAGTCTAAGAGACAAAACCGGCGCTATCGCAATATGTGGGGCATCCTCTAGGGCCAAACCTTGGAAGGTCCAGCAAATCCGTGGAAAGTGAAAATGGCTCACGCACCCTAGAGTCTCTTACCCCCGCCTAAAGTAGTCCCATTTTTGACTAAAAGGGCATTTTCAAGGCGGTGTTAGGTAGGTTGTTTTAAGGCGTTGCATTGCCACCACAATGCCCCCTACCTTGCGATAGCGCCTGAGAACCATTCAAAAAATAAATTCTTACGTTCCAAATGTCATCCATGGTGGAAATGTCCACAAAGGCTTTTCTTGCCGGGCTGGCTTTCGACTTGACAAAGAGATTGCCAAGTATATTAGTGAAATAATACGTCTGCACAGAGCTTTGCGCTAAGGCCACTGAAAGAGCAACGTAAGCGGTTGCAACAGTCAAAAAATGTTGGGGTGGTGGGGTCACTGGGTCCCAATCAACGTGGACCCACCGTATGTAACCAGCACCAGGAAGCAGGCGTAGTTGACGATTCTGAAAATCGATCTTGGTGTCATCTTTCTGACTTCATCGCCTGGCTTGCCTGAAAAGCAGTCAAATACCAAAGAATTCTCACAAATCGTTGATCAGTACGACCACTTCGTGAAGCCATTATTATCGCATCCTTGATTGTCGTCTTCGACATTTGCTTCGGAATGACTGGAGTTTCATCGAACTCCTGGAATAAGACCTGTTTAAGCAAACGAACCTTTGTAGGACGGACTGATGCTTTTGATTGTATCGACTCCCTCCCTCCCTCACCACTCACTTCAGTCGTAATCGGGTAAGCCTACCTCAGTGGAGAGTGTGTGAGCCTCTCCAGCCGGCGCATCAGCAACTGCTGGTGGACTTTCGTAGGCTTCATTGTCATAGTTCATCGGGGAATTGGCTGCCGCTATCATCTTTTGAAGCTGAAACTGATCACATACATATAAAGGTTATGTTGTTCGATTACAATCCACTGCTCAATCAATCGCACGACACGGGGGCATTATAGTAGCAACGCATTCAAAACCACGTGAAGCATCTCCTTTTTTCAAAAACGGGGCTAAGGCTCAGGTGGAGAGGAAAGAATCCAATGAGCAATTTTCATTGTTCCCTAAGTTGCCCACACCTAGGCTTAGTCTCGGACGGTGTCCTGTATCTTCGCGATATCGCTCACTGCTTAAGCTAGCACGGCACTAAATTTGTTATTTTATAGGCTCAATTCAAGCAGAATGTGAACAATTCCCTTTGCTTAAAGGGATTACGCTAAGGACGATTCCAGATGTGGAAATGTTCAAGTGTGGAAATGGCCTTCGAAGCTCCCAGGCCTTCTACACATAGACAGCTTCGACAGCTTCCATTTCCCGGTTCAGAGAGCTGTTGTCTGGCGCTTCGTACCATCATATAGGGCTCTTATTCGCGTGCAAAATCATACTTGTCTGATCCTAGAGTGTGCGAAGATATTTTCTAATTTATTTTTCGAATTTCCAAGAAGGGGACTGAATCATCACTTATTGCGTCAATGGAATGTGCAGAAATCAAGTTTCTAAGGTATTCTCTAATTTCCACGAAGGGGAGCTGAAAGCCGCTTAATTCTCTGTTATCGCTCCGTCAGACCATTAAAAATATTAAAACTCCATAGAAAAGTCAGACCAAACCCAATACGAAGCTTGCTATTGATTAAGGTTATTGCATATTTATTTTCTCAGTGTGGTCAAAATTGCGCCATGTACTATGAAAGGGCAGGAAATCGCTAACACGAGAATTGAAGGTAAGCATACAGATAGGTGGAAAAAAGACAGTTTTGAAGTGAGCAGCAGGCTTGGAAAGAGATCACTGGAAACGCTCCAATTCATCCAGCCCTTGGAAAGGTTGAGCAAGAGAACGTTTAAGAAAGACTGACTTTGAATGCCGGGAGTAACCAGAGGATACGAAAGGCAATTGCCTTGGTCGCTAGGAAGCGCCCTTCGATACCAAATGGCAATAAAATATAAGCATTTTGGCATATTAGGTCTACGGTAGTTTTTCCACGTCAAGAGAAACTCAACTGCAAACGCGGCTTGTGCTTCTTCTCTGGAAGGATATTTCCAAGAAACCTTGCATATGATTGAACTTCACTGATGGTATTTGTCATCATAGTATGGCGATCTCTTAAGTTACATACTAGCCTTCCTTTCGTGAATTCGATAGAGGGTTTGGAGTAAACTTAGATTTCGAATGAGCGTTTTGACATCATGGAACGGGGTTCTTTCTAAGCAGCGGAAATATCGCTTGATTTGGCGACATTTTTTCAGCATTACTTGCATCACGAGGCGCAGATTTGACTGTGTATAACGGTTCTGCATACGCTTATGCGTGCATAGTTCGAGCATCAAAACCCGGATCACACTTGTCCAATATGATCATAACTTCAAGGGGATGAATGACCCAGAAATTCCATGAGATAAACGAACCACGGACTTGTGCATCGCCACTAAAGCCATTGCATACATAGGACCGACGGCATTCTATTGTCCTTATGGTTCTGAAGTGAAGACACGATGCGCGGCATGTCCGTAAAAGGATTGACCGACATGCTTTTTTTACCCCATTTATATTTTTCATTTCACCTGTTTCTCGACTCTCAAACGGATCGAACTGTTCCTCCATAGCATCTATGGTGTTTGGACCTGCATCAGGGTCCAATGAGTCGTCTGTTTCTAGAGCCGTTTACCACTAGATTTATTAGGTAATGACAACACAGAATAAGAATACAATACAAATGTAATTATAACTCGTCCTAACGTCGTATTGTTCTCGTGATTTCGCCTAGTTTGTAAATCGTCTTTGGCTCTGCTAACAAGATCATCGTCGTCGTAATCGTTCTATTGTTTCGCTATACTTTTCTCTTCTCGGGCATCAATCGCCGGGCTCTTATATGTGAGCCCTTATCTGATAGGATATATGGCGAGCTGTGAGCAGAAATTTCTGCTGGCTTTATGACGATACCGATGATTCATCATGAACAGAGTTCATGACATATGGTCAATTTTGGCAACATATTGC